AATAATGTCATCCTTTTGACAAATATTGAATCCTTTCATTCAAGTATTGGTTTTACTTTGTCCTGTTTCCTGTCCCTTAATGGTCTTAACTTTTAGTGCTCAGTTCCACATATAATGATGCAGCTGGCACGTGAGTCTTGGCAATGAGTGTTTGGCAAGCTGTCTACCATGATAGCAGAGCCAAATCTAATCTTTTTTCCCAAATGTTAACACACAAGCCTTACTACAGTAAGCTGTCAACTGGAGACTAAGCCATATCAAGAACCTTGGCTTCACTTCTCATTCCCTAGAGTGTGAGCAATGAGTTCACTTGCCTTTCTCCATATTGTTGACCAGTTCAGTCAGAATGAGCTAGGGTTCACACAAAATCTACCTTCCTTTCGACCTCCATCATCCGAACCTCGCCAGATGCTTTTCACAGATGAGATTCTCGTGCAGAAATCCCTGCGTCTCAGGAATATGTTTGACCACTTCTACCTCTATTGATCCTTGAACCTCATAAAGATCATTGGTTATGCCTGAAGGATCCAGTTAATGACTGTCTCCCTGAGTTGGCCGGTTCTGTGACTGTTGAATAAACACTAATACAGTTCAAGCATTACTTTGGATACATGCGCATTATAAAAGTAGTAGGGGAAAAAAAGCGATTCAGCATAAATATCAGGGTAGTTTTAGAAAACAAATTTCGAGGAGCATCGGTGGTTCAGTGGTAGAATTCTCGCCTGCCACGCGGGAGGCCCGGGTTCGATTCCCGGCCGATGCAACTAATTTTGTGAATTACTCATAATTTGACATTCAGTATTAACAGCTTATACTTCTCAGAAACAAATCTCTTTATTTAACTTATACAGCATTGACTGTATTGTTTAGGCAAGCAAAATATAACTAAATCCAGCCATTCGTTTTTAATCTAAAATGCAGACATAATTTGATTTGACTTGAACAGTTTCAAACTCATTGATTTATTTTCCAACTCTTTCCAGGGCAGTGATTTGCAGCAGAGTTTATTTCATGAAACAAGCAGGATAGAGATTTTCTGCTGATTTGGAGTTCACGAATACACACGTTGTCCATTCAAATGATTTTTTCTCCTTATCTTTCGTCATTAATTATTTAAAGATCGCAGAGGATATCGTGAAACTTCACAGAAGCCTAATCAGAGAAAAAAAAATCTTCCAAACCAAAGAAGGAAGAAGGCAGAGTTTCGGCTAACAGTGGGTTTTATAGTTGGAGAGGCAGAGATATTTTAAAAGAGAGCCGTTACATTTGTTTTTGTCCATAAGCTGTGGGTGTCGCTGGCTAAGTTAGTGTTTATTGTCCATTCCTTTTGTTTTAATTGTTCATTCACAGTACGTAGGAGTCGCTGGCTGGGCCCAGCATTTATTGTCCGTCCCTAGTTGCCCCCTTGAGAAGGTGGGGGTGAGCTGCCTTCTTGAACCCGCTTGAATGTCCATGTGCTGTATGTAAACCCACAATGCCCTTAGGGAGGGAATTCCAAGATTTTGACCCAGTGACACGGAAGGAACGGTGAGATATTTCCAAGTCAGGATGGTGAGTGGCTTGGAGGGGAACTTGCATGGGGTCGGGGTGGGGTGGTGTTCCTATGTATCTGCTGTCCTTGTCCTTCTAGTTGGAAGTGGTTGTGGGTTTGGAAGGTGCTGTCTGAGGATCTTTAGTGAATTTCTGCAGTGCATTTTGTAGATGGTACACACTGCTGCTGCTGAGTATTGGTGGTAGATGTTTGTGGATGTGGTGGCAATCAAGCGGGTTGTTTTGTCCTGGATGGTGTCGAGCTTCTTGAGTGTTGTTGGGGCTGCACCCATCCAGGCAAGTGGGAAGTATTCCATCACACTACTGGCTTGTGCCTTGTAGATGGTGGACAGGCTTTGGGGAGTCAGGAGGTGAATTATTTGCTGCAGGGTTCCTTTTGTACCCAACTGGATGAGTTGAGTTTCTGATCAATGGTAAACCCCAGGATGTTGATAGTGGGGGATTCAGTGATGGTAACGCCATTGAACATCCAGGTGTGTTTTGGGCATGGGGGGGTGGCTGGTGATGTAACACAGAGACTGGCTCGCCCACTCCACCCCCACGCTTGCTCCCATTATACAGACAGTGGGAGGGGGTTCAAAATTGGTAGCCCCCACTCAGCATACACAAATAAATAAATCAGCTGCCTACTCCATGCTATAGTTGGCATGGGCTATCAGGCAGGAGTGGGATTCACGATTCTTTTTGAAGTGCTGAAAACCACAGGATTGAGGGACATTAGCTAACATTGGAAGGTACTCTTTGTCCATTGAGAAGATAATCCTGCTTCCTTCCTTCCCACTCGCACATTTTTTAAGACACATTTTCCTACCCACTCCTCTCCTTGAGTTGGCAGAAATCCCCCATCCCAAAGCAAGTTTGGTGAGGTCTCCAGTGCAGACCTGCCCTGCGCTCAGTGGGGAGCTCTGGCACTGGCAAGACAGATGGAACTGCCAGTCAATTAGATAGTTTGTGGCTGTGCCACCTGGAGCTCATGTAGCTTGTGTTTAGGGATATGGGGTTAAAATTGAATCAGAGATAGTAGGAACTGCAGATGCTGGAGAATCCA